CGAAAGGAAGAAAAGAAAGTCATAGCCCAGAGTACAAAATGTGTGTTCAATATACGAGAAGTAATCGTACATATCCAGTTGTGTATAATATAACTAATATAAGCCTTTTGAAAATGAACTATTATTTATCATAATAATATAAGTTATAAGTTATTACAACATTTAAATTGCTTTTAACTCGATAAGTTGTATGATCTTATTTCTTTGAAATAAAATAGTTAATCATGTACATAATATATTAAACATTCATATAATATATATATAAGTACTAAATTAAATGCTTGTCAGCTAATGCTTTTATTTATTTATTTAGTTTTTTTTTGATAAAAATATTAATATACGAGTATATATCATAGGTATATGTAACAAAGTTTATCAATAGTTTAACTTACGTAGATAGTATGTATAATGTTTACAATTCAATTAAATTGCTTTTATTTGTAATTTGTTAGTAAGATTAAAACCAAAACTATTTGCTATAAGACAGTTACAACAATGATATTTCTAAATGTTTTGACAGGAGATTATATTGGTTATAAAGAAATACAAATTCTAAGTTTATATTTTTATATAATTCATTTATATACATATATATATAGAAAGAGGAGGATTCTATAGGTAAAAAATATATTTATATAAAGGTAAATTGTATGTACTTATTTATTTCATATAAGTAAATCACCAATAAAAGAAAATATTGGGGATAATAATGTAATATATTTATATATAACATTATACTTTAAGTCAAGCGAGGATAAAAAGCTTTTGCCAATTCCATTACAAGCTTAATAGACGAAACATTATGTTTTATAATAATATTGATTTTAAGACTTGACATTTTCAGTCGATTAAATTTAAAAACCAAAAGGAACTAAAGATCAAACTATAATAAGAACCTATTAACTTTCACGGACGAATAAACGATACGAAACTTGGTATCTTCGAAACTTTGAATCACAAATTTGGTTTTCTCGTTTGTTTTAGACAAAACGAATTTTATTTTAAAGACAATATATTGATGTATTTTAAATAAAAATTAATCCAATAATCATTAAAAATTAACATTCGTTTTAAGCTTTTCAATTTAATAGACTTTGTGTTATATTTAACATTAAACATGATATTAATACCTTCAACTTTTAAGTTTTTAAAGATATGCTATAATTATGGTTATTGATTTTTTATTAAATATTTTTTAATTAGAACAACAAATATTAAACCATAATAAAACTAAAAAGAGTTATTATAATAATAAAAGTAAATGGCAATAATTCCACTATAACGTTAGATAATATACAATATTATATGATACAACTAACAATGTGAGAACCTTAATATTTATCAACATGTATAGTACTTCAGCATATCAAAATAAACTTTATTTTAGTTTTATAATTGCTAGAAATTAGTGAATATATCATATAATTAATTTTCATTTAATTATTTAAAATATAGTAGTTATCCACTAACATAGATTGTAATAGAATTAGTATAACATGCTGTGTTAATATATGGTGTATTTTCTTACGCGATTTATCTTGACCTTAATTTTAATATCATAGAAAAATAAAAATATATTTCCATATAATACTAATTGTGTCTTTTATAGTTTATAATATTATACCATATTTTGTGTTGTAATATTATATGTTTACGCCAATTTTCATGAAAATTTGTTGTACTGCATGATTTGCATATTTATATATGCGTAGGTAGCTTAATATTTATAAAATTTTCATGTTTAAAAAACACAAAATTTTATTTTATTGCGATGATGGAAAAATAATTACATTATTTTTAGAATATAACTATTTTATAGTTTATCAACATTGTGCACATTATGTAAACAATATAGTTACACACAAATAAATAAATTGAGCAGTAACCTCAATAATAGAAATATCTTTTTTTGGTATACGAGTATATTCTTATTTTACATTTTATACTTTATAGTTAAGTATAAATATGATGAGTTATCTATATTAGATACATTGTACATGTCAAAAATATTTAGGATATTTAAAATTAAAGGTACATGATCCAACAAATCATGATGATTACTGATTATATTTATTTACTGCAATTAATATTCTTCATACACTCATGGGTCATCGGTATATATTTATGTTATTTAAATTACAATATGAAGTGATAAGAAGCTTTATATATTTTTTATAAATAATTATACAAACAATAGGCTTAAACAATAATAACATATCATAACCGACATATCGTTTACGTTACTTCTGTATAAAATGTTCTCCATTAGGTGTCATTGACTGGTACTTTCACTTTACATTTGTATTCTTGGGAAGACTTAACTAGGTACTAAGAATTATGTGGCATTTAAAACAATGCAAGTTTGTGTAGTTTATTACTCTTTGTGATTTTGCAATAATGACAAAAAGAAAGTCTATGACATATTGACATGTCAAATCTAACTTTGTAAGACTCGACTGACAATAATTTCTGGTTTGAAATCCTTTCAAAAGAAAAGAAAAATTATGATCATTTCAGGACGTTTTAATATATTTTAAAATTTTAAATAAGAAACATGAGTAATAATACATGTAAAATAATCTTATTGTAATGTTCTATGTCAATAAAAATGTATATTATTTTAAATTTTAAAATGATAAATGATAATTTCCGTTTCAATTTAATTTCAAATTAAAACACATATTTTATTTAAAAGTTAATATATTATACAAAATCTATGTAAATAACTACACTATATGTTATTTTTATTTAGAATGTCGGCGCCATATTCTCATAAATCAAACAGCGAAAAGTGCCTAAAAGTGCCTAACTTTTGCTAGTTTTTGACTTATAGAAAATTATTAGAGGAATATATTTAACGATAAATAAAAACATTAAAATTATAAAAACGTCAGAGGTACATAAAAAATGCATTTAAAGTTTTGATTAAATTATTTTACTAAGTAATTTCATTTTTTTTTTTTTTTTTTTTTTTTTATTATCGATTGAAAGTATAATTATTGTCATCAGTATTCAGAGAGTTGTGTATTTGCTAATACATAATGTAATATGTCAGTAATTAGTTTATGAAAATACAATGTATTAACCTACTGTATATTTTTTAATATATCGAATGTCAATTATTATAGAATTCCCTACGAACCTTTATCGTATAATAAATAAATATTATATTTCTTAATTTGGTTGAATCTGTCGCATAACTAGTGCGTAAAGATGATTATCATTTTAAGTGGAAACATAAGATATGGTGATAACGCGCTTTTTTATTGATAAAATGTTGTTTTATGGGGTACTTAAAAATAATTTCGAATAGTAAATATAGAATAATTAACAAACGTGGTTTATTTAAACAGGAAGTCATTAAAATTTAGTATTAATTGACGTGGAGAAAAGAATGTTGGTAAAAAAAAAAAAAAAAACAATATAAGCGATAAACAAATTAATATAAAATTTTAATACTAGGTATGTAGTTATTAGTCAAAGTACTGATAGTAATATTATTATTTTAACACTATAGCCGCGTGTACAGTATATATATATATTGTAAACTACGTTTTATGTTTACCTACACATAAACATTAATATTGACGGTAATTGATAATTATTGTAAATATACGTTAATATTCGCATAACGCATCTGTGCGTGTAAATTTGTACAATATTATGTAGAAAATTTAGTATTTAAATTTATTTTTGAAACAGAAAAATAAGCGTAAATTTCTGTAAGACACTTTTGGTGTTTAATTTTTTTGGCGTTTATAGGCACCTAGTTACATCTCACACACTAGAAATAGTAATGTATATTACTATAACCGGTTATCATATTATTACAATATTATATTCCCATCGTTCGATAATAAACATGTGGACGTACACGTTCATTAATGATATTATACATAATAATAAACTTGGCATATCACTCGCCTATTCAAATTATCTAAAACATCAAGTCCACGTGCAGCATAAGGTGAATTCGATATAGTCTGCGATATAGGTATATAGTATAGTCTGAGACTATAAAATAGTATGGAAAACCGCATTCTTTTAGCTTCCTCTCTTCAACAGCCGGTATCTACGTTTTGGTCGAGTCACACGATGAAAATGCCTGAGTGATGTATCTTGTTTAAGGTTTTGCGGATTCAGAGATTGCCGTGTAAACTTTAAATGCATATTACATACATACTGAGATAGGATGACCAAGAGATCATGCGTTGCTCAATGCTGTTAATAAAATTAATACATTAATCTGATGTTATAATATTATGTATATAAATTGTTTACATTTTTTTTTAGCATACAACACAATTTATTGTTTTGCGTTGAATTAATGGTTAAATCAATAGATAACTTTTAAATTTTTCTTATTATCGTGGATTAACTTAACTCAATTGAATTTAAAAAAAAAATCATTAACTTTTCTAGCTCTGGCTTTTATTATACATTATATAATAATTTATATCAAATGCAGGTACCTATTATATATAGGTATAGTTTAGACGAAGATAGGATTAAAACCCAAATATTGCGAAGTATACTTTATATTGGTTCAGGTACCTACCTGCATGCGTGATATATTGTTATCTTATTATTATATGAATATATCCAAACAGATATTAATAACGTGTGAACACATATTTTATTTTATAAATTAGCGAAATTAAAATTAAACTGCTAACAAATGATATCATATTAAAATAGGTACACTAACCGGACATTATATTATTTTTAACATAGGTTTGCGCGGGAGTGCTAGCGATACGAGCGAATAGTGAAACACGATATTATATTATTATCATGACGCGTGATACCTACCGGGATATTAAAAAAAAAAAAAAAAAAAAAAAAAAAAAAAATAGAAATATTTGCAATAACTGAAGATTCGGTGTCGGCGGCTAGTTGGGTCCGCCGAGCCGGTAGATGGCGTTGTCGACGGAGGCCGCCGCGCGCTCGGTCTCTACGCATAATCGAATATCGTATTCGTGTATGCGCGCGAACGGGTAAACTCGCCGCGCCGGCACCGGCAAAATTACAGTGTTCAGTCGCGAGCGAGAACACGGGCCACCACTTGCCGCTTCTGTACGCTATAAATCGTTATCCGTTGTGTTAATTTTTTTCAAATTCTCGTCGCCTTGCTCGTTCTAGTTATTTTTTTTTCCAATTCGTACACATTCTTTTTTTTTTTTTTTTTTTTTTTTTTTTTTTTTTTTTGTTTTAATACCGATACATGTCATAGTGCTTTCCGTCGTGACGTGATCTAACTGTGCAAATATTATCAATACTATTGTATTATTATTGCCATTATTAGGTATTTTAATCGTTTTTATTGTTATTATTATTATTATTATTATTGTTAATACCTCGCTAATAAATAATTATTATAGCCTACATTAATTTTCGCCGAGTGTCCGATACGGCGTTCGCGTGTACGGTTCTTACCCCATAATTATTACTACCGTCGGTGTCTCTAATATCATTAGATAAATTTGGCCGGGTATTCGTTCATTACGATATTATAATAATAACAGTCGATCGACGACGATGACCGTTTTCCCGGTGATCTAATATTGTTGTGTATAATACGTCGTCGACACGTTATATCATTACACGTATATACACTGCGAATATATTGTTACATATAACGTCGTATATTTTAAACGTATAGACTGAGCTGTTCAGCTGCCGATATCGACGCCACTGTCGATAAGGAATCTCGCAAGTTCGGACGTGCTTTTGACAACGCATCGACCATGGACGTGCTACCGAGCGGTAACATATTCCGGGAACTTCAGGACATACACGATACCGGTTATTTCTCTGCACACGTATCGCTCGAGGATCACTGGCAACAGGTAATTTCACTTTTGCACAATTTAAAAAAAAAATGAAAAAGCTCTTTTTTTTGAAAGCTCCTAAAACTCTGTTAAACAACGCAAAAACATTACTCAATTTTGATTGTATAGTGGGCACAGAGCAAATCGTGCGTACACAAGCATCGGAATGGTAGTGAACCGTATAGTAGGATGTCTGATGTGTACAGATATTGAAATGTATAAAAATTTATGTCCAGGAACGTTCAATCGTATCCACCTCGTATCAATATATTATTTTGACTCTAATAAATTGTATTGATTGTACAATAAATTAGTCATATTCTGGATGATAGATGGCTTTTAGTTTAGTAATGTCAGTGATAGTAGACGGATTGTGGAATCATCCCGCTTGATAGACTTTGGACTGTTTTATAATATTGTTTTTAAATAACAATCATTGCCATGGTGAGTGTCTGCGCGGTCGCACGTGCTTCGCGTCTTTATGTAACAACATATTATAATTATATTTATCTCGTGTAGGTACTATGTAGTAGGTACACGGTACACACATTCCACCTTTCACGCATAATATAATATTTCACGTATTGTTGTGTCACACGTGAACTCTGGTACGACAGGGGTTGGCTGAGGTAGAGTAATACGATTATTTTACTGTTTTTATCGGTTTTTTTTTAATGTTGTGTTTTCGTTGGAACTTTTTGAATTTATTTTTTATCATAAACAATTTTATTTTTGAATCATATTTTATTGAAACGCGTACCGTGGGTTCAGCAACATCACATTTTACGACTACTGGTGATTAATCGTATTTCATCAACTTATTCATTCGATCGCCAATTAATTAATTTATCATTACTAGTAAAACGTTAACGTACAGTTTTGCGTGTTTGTAGTACACTTTTTACTCGTATAGTTATCGGAAATTAAGTAAACAAAAAAAAAAATCATATTACTGTTTATGACTTATTTAGAGATGTTTACAACTATCGTAAATAATAATAATAAAAAAAAAAAATCAAAAAGTATGTAAGTACCTATGTAACAAAAAAATAAAAATTATTAAAAGTCCGTGATTGAAAACCTTTTTAATTTTGATAAATTAGTAATGAATACAGTAGAACTGTTTTTGTGTTAAGATTTTTTTTTCTATGTCAGCAGTTTTTGATTTAATGTATACAATTTTTTTTTTACGCTATATGTGTTGGTATGCATTATATTTATGTACCTATATAATATAAACGTATGTAATATTGTGTGTATGTGTACCTATGTGATTCATTTACTGTTGTTATCAGAGGCACAGGCTGTAAAATAAATTATGACTCCCGAGGAAACACAAACACACGTCTTTCTCGGTAACAAAACAGTAAACGACAAAATTATTAAAAAAAAATTACAGTCGAGATAACTAATTATTAGTCGAATAGTAGTATTACTATTTTAAAATGTGTTTATATATATATATTTATCTAGCACAGTAATATAATATTTAGTATAAATACATACATGTTATAGAGTTACAAATGTGTAGTTTATGAGTCGGTCTTAATGAAATTACAAAAATTGAAGGACAATTATAATAAAAGTTTTTGGTTCATTTTCCATGCAATGAAATCCGAATGTCGAATAACTCGTGTGTTCATTTAAAAGAAAAGTTTTATACGATTTTTTTGGGAATGAAAATGTTGCCATAAAACGCAGTAGTTTTGAAATGCATTTTTAATAGTGTACAGTCGCATATTGTATTGTATACAAGCAGCAGTAGGTTATTTTAAAATTTTTATTCATATTATTTTATATTAAAACGAAAATAAAATTTGTATAGTAATCTTTTTTCATTTAATTTCGTTTAACATAAAATCGATATTGCCCAGTTGATGAATTATAATTTTTACGTTTATCTGTTTAATCACTGACCAGTTACAGAGTAGCAGACGGAATAATAGTAAAATGATTATTGTGACATTTGACCACAATCTATTTGGGAAACGACTGACGAGTAAAACTATTCTAATTGCTATGGTTCTTTGAACTAACAATATATCTTTAAATACTACACTGAAATTTATTATAATAATTGTATTGAAACAAAATGCCAGTAACAAAACTGATAAACAGCGATTTATATCTCTGGAAAGGTCTCGTAGTTAATTGAAAGAAATATGTTTTAATTAATTTAATTAAAAATGACCTTACATGTACCCCATTAAGTCTCATAGTTGTGGTTTTCGTGTAGGTACATGAATAGAGGATTTTGGTAGTACAATTTTTTTAATTGCTTTATAACGTAAAAATAGATTCTTTCATTTAATAATAATTGTTTAATGATACTTATAAAAATGTATGGTATGTTAAGTTACATTTAACTGCAACCATTGATAATGACATTTTATATTGTGAGTCTTGAGCATACAAATCCAATCTATTACCATAGGCTACCCATTGTCACTTTAATATAGTGGTATAATTTTTATTTCTATTATCTTTCGATTAATCGGTAGAAAAGAAAATATGGGTTTACCCGTATCTCTGCTCCCTTCAATATAATTTTAATGGTTCAAAAGGCATCATTCAAAATCAAAGTAAAACATTGTATTAAAAATCTCTGATATGAGTTTTATGGATTGAGATTTATAAATGGATACACCGGTCCCCCAAAATGTAGTTTACTGGCACATTGTGTGTTGGTTTTTTTCGGTTAATGATCATCAACTTCAAAATAAATCGAAATCGAATGTTAAATACTGGTGGTTGATCGAGAGATGTGAAATATTGAATTTTGGATTTAAATATGAATAATTTATTGTTTTTGGCACATCGTAGTAGCCGCAAGAAACACGTACAATATTATAGTAGACGATGACGCACGTTGTTCACAGATGAAAATGACGACGACAAACCTAATGAATGAAATTTTTCTCGTGTGGATACATATAATGGAATACTACGAAATGCATTGAACACTGTATATTTTACCGTCAATCATGTTTTAGATTAATTTGATATCGAAAACTATTTAAAAACAATATTTATTCACACGAACACATTATAAACCAAACATATTTGTACTAACTGCTGATTTTTAGAATTTTTTTTCTCAGAATATCGTAATAAGAAATTCCAAATAGATAAATTGATTTTAAAATATAATATTACATTATATATAAAAATTATTTTATCTAATTATATGGTATAAATCGATATTATTAAATATTGTTACTGTATAATGGTATGAAAATGTCAAGTCGCTGTGCATCTCATCTATTTAAATAATTATGAAAATAGTATTCTCGACGTTTTTAGGGAAATTATTGAAAAAAAAAAATAACAGCCTATTTGAGTGTAATTTCTTGATCATTTTCTTTTTACTCTCTCAATCTATTTTCTCTCTCTCTCTCTCTCACACACACATAACACACACATACATACACACACACACATACATACACACACACACACACTCTTTGTCTGTGTTTCTTCTGGTCTTTGGACGGTTAGGTCTTACCTCGATTTGCGTTTGATGTAGTAATAATGTATAATATATGTATAGAATTTTAGAAAACATAGTACGTGTGCCCTGTATTTAATAAAATATATTTCGTTTTTGCATTCGTATGTAGTATATAAGTGCAGTTGTGCAGAAGTATTATAATCTATATTAATGCATGTATATGATACACACACGTAGGACAGGGGAGGCGAGGAGGATGAGGATGACGTGCGACGGCGTTGTAAAACGGGCGCGCGGTAAAGCGATCTGAAAAGCGTCGGAGGGGGCGGTATAAGCCCCGCGCGCTTTAACGGTGTCCCATTAACGCGGTGGCCGTGTGGTGGGGTGGTGTGGCGATGGAGAGGACCCCGGGCCGGATCGATGCGGCGGTGGCGGCAGCGTGTACAGAGCGGCAGCTCAGTTTTGGCGGGGCCATTATACGGCCGACGACGGCCCCACAACAGTCGTGTACACGCAGTTGAGCTTGTGTGGTACGCGTTTCGCGCGCTCTCAGAAATATCAAACCATCATATAATTTTATATTTTTATCGTACTTTTTGCCACTTTTTCAGTGTTTATACTGTACACGTTATAAATAATATTTTAATGTCTAGTTACCCTGCAATATAGGTTAAAACCATTACACCAGTAACGTATCTGAAGTCCGGGTTCCTAAGCCTCTTGAATTTTTTTTTTATAAGTAAATTTCATCGAATTTGCTGATTTTAAAATTTTATTATTCTATTCACACTTTTACCCTTCAATTTTGCCATTGAATAATCGATAATTCCTGTTTTTGCATAATTATACATGCAATTGTCCACTAATGATTTCGTATTATAATGTTCTGCTACACAAATATAAGATACTATGACATTGTCAATATCGGCGATGATTATAATCTTATACTTATGTGGATTATTTGAAAACTAGTTGAATATAATATAATATACATATATTTATAGCGTTTGAGCGGTATACACGACCGTCAACCGGTGGTGGACGTAATATTTGGGTCAGTAATATAACGTTCATCTTTTTCTGAAAATGTTAGGTTCGCCATACACTTGAATTCGTAACAGTATGTATATATTATGGTAATTATTAATTATGTTGCGCGTACTACAACAACAGCGATTATGTTTATTTTAATATTGTACATATAATACGCGCGGTGAGTTTTCTCACGGGTCGTCTGCGTCGGTTCTCGCCGTTCTCGGACCATCATCAATAACGTTGCCGTACACGCAAGTGGCGTGCGGTGTATAATACACGTCGCAAAGGCGCGCGGTAATAAATAAATATCGCACGTATTCTGATGGCTTGTACATAAAATATCCTTCCGGCGGTGCCCTTTTCGCGATGGGATGCGAAATTATATGATGGCGAATCGTCTCGTTTCCTCCATCCTGCCGCCGACCATTGCACTCTCTCCTCCTTATTCGTATACTACTGTTGTTATTGTACTTGTACACTTATACAATGACGTGTACAATGATGAACGTATATTGTAATGTATATATTGTGT